TTATTAACAATACCAAAGACACACATATAAAAAGAAAGCTAGTAGTCCATATCCTTGATTAATATAGCTACATAATTGCTCAACAAAGTAGTAGAAAATCGAAAGCAATAGCACTGTAATAACACCCTTCACCATGATCAAGAAGGAGTCATCCCAGGTATGCGTGAATGGTGCGACACATGCAAGTCAGTAAATGTGATGCACCACATCAGCAGAATGAAGCACAAGTACCATATGGTGGTAAATGCAGAAAGACATCTGATAAAATCGAAACCCTTCAAGTTAAAAGCTCTGATCAAATTACATAGAGATGGAACATAACTCAACATAATAAAGGCCATATAGAACAAACCAACAACTAATACCAGGGAGAAGCTGAAGGTTTTCTCTCTATCTGGAGTAAGACAAGAATAAGCACTTTTACTACTTTCGTTCAACATAATATTGAAATCTTAGCTAGAACAATTAAGCAAAATAATGAAATAAAACACATCCAATTGGAAAGGAGAAAGTCAAATTTTCACTGTTTGCAGATGACATGACCTAATTATTATATAGAATATCCCAAAGATTCCACAAAATACTTTTTTTAAAAGAGACTATTTATTTTTGTTTGAAAGACAGAGGAAGAGAGAAAGAGTGAGCTCTTCAATCCACTGGTTCACTTCCCAGATGGCTGCAATGGTGGGTGCTGTGCCGATCTGAAGCCAGGAGCCAGGACATTCTTTCAGGTCTCCCGTGTTGGTGCAGGGGCCCAAGGACTTGGGCCATCTTCTACTGCTTTCCCAAGCCATAAAAGAGCTCTGAGGTGGAGCAGCCAGAACATGAAACCAGTGCCCTTATGAGATGCCAGCACTGCAGGTGGCAGCTTTACCCACTATGTCACAGCGCCAGCCCCCACAAAATGCTTTTAAGAGTAGCAAACACATTCAACAATGTTGTAGGACATAAAGTCAATGTACAAATATCAGTAGCATTGCTATACACCAACACTGAATCATCTGAAAAAAGAAATTAAGAAGGCAAGCATATTTCCAATAGCTTCAAAAAGTAAAATATCTGGCAATAAACTAAACCAAAAAAGTGAAAGTGTTCTCCAAGGAAAACACTAAATCGTTGATGAAAGTAATGAAAGAGGAAACAAAGAAAGTGAAACGATATCACATGCTTACAAATTCAAAGAACCAGTATTGTCAAATGTGCATACTATCCAAAGAGAGTCACAGACTCAGTGCAATCTCTAACAAAATCTCAATGACATTTTTCACAGAGATTGCTAAAATCTGTATGGAGCCACAAAACATATTGGATAGGCAAAGTGATCATGAACAAAAAGAACAAAGGAGGAGGATCTGATTTTAAAATATATTTCAAAACTACAGTAATTAAAATAGCATGATATTGGTATAAAAACAGATCCATAGAATAGAGATCATAAAATACAATGCATCTAAAGCAAACTGATTTTTGACAAAGGTGCCAAAGACATGTATTGGAAAGAGGAGAGTCTTTTTAACAAATGATGTTGGGACAATCAGATATCTACCTGCAGAAGAATTAAACTGGACCCTTATCTCTCACCATGTACAAAAATCAACTTAAAACGGATTAAAGACCTAAATGTGAGATCTGAAGCTTTGAAAATATTAGAATAAAACATAAAAAAAGAAATTCAGAACACTGGAATGACAAGGATTTTCTATTCAGATCCCCAATGCACAGAAAATAAAAGCAAAAATAGACACAATGAGATTTTTGGCAAAGTAAATCATTTCTGAAGAGCAAAGGAAACAATCAACATAATTGAAAAGGCAACCTACAGACTGGGAAAAGTGTTTACAAGCTATTCATCTGATGGGGGTTAACATATGGAATATATAAGGATCTCAAACAACTCAACAGCAAAAACAAACCGCAAATGAAACCCAAATAATCCATTGTAAACAATGGTCAGTAGATCTAAACAGGCATTTCTCAAAGGAAGGCATACAAATGGCTGACAGGTATATGAAAAAATGCTAAGCGTCACTAATCATTAGAAAAATGTGAATCTAAACCACAGTATAACTTCACTTCAGGAAGACTGGTTATATCCAAAAGACAAAAGATAACAGGTGTTGCTGAGGGTCTTGAGAAAAGGGAACACTTGGACATTATAGGTGGAAATGTAATTGGTACAGCCACTGTGGAAAACAGCATGGAAGTTACTTTAAAAACTAAAAATATAACTGTCATATCATTCAACAATCTCACTCCTTGGTATATTACAAGGAAATTGAAATCCATCTGCTCCATGTTTGTTTCAGACAAGAGTCAAGACTTGGAAAAATCCACATATCAATATACCAATGATAAAGAAACTGTGGTACATTTACACATGGAATATTACTCAGCCATTAAAAGAATGAAATCTTGTCATTTTCAACAACTTGGATTAAATGACAGGTCATTGTGTTAAGTGAAATTAGTGTGTTAAGTCAAGTAGAGAAAGCTAAGCATTATATCACTCGTGGGAGGAATTTGAAAATAGCTGATATTGCAGAAGTTAGAAATATGATGGTGGTTACCAAAGGCTAGGGGGAATATGGAGAGAAGTTGATTGATGTGTACTGGGTTATAGCTAGACAGGAGTAAGAAGTTCTTTAGATTCTATTGCATAGTATGATGACTGTAGGTAATGAAAGTGTATTGTATATTGCTGTATTAAAAAGACCATGGAAGGGGCCAGCGCTGTGGCCTGGCCTGAAGTGCTGGCATCCCATGTGGATGCCGGTTCAAGACCCAGCTGCTCCACTTCCGATCCAGCTCTCTGCTGTGGCCTGGGAAAGCAGTAGAAGATGGCCCAAGTCCTTGGGCCCCTGCACCCACGTGGGAGACCCGGAAGAAGCTCCTGGCTCCTGGTTTCGGATTGGTGCAGCTCTGGCCATTGCTGCCAATTGGGGAGTGAACCGTCGGATGGAAGACCTCTCTCTCTCTCTCTGCCTCTCCTCTCTCTGTATAACTCTGACTTTCAAATAAATAAATAAGTCTTAAAAAAAAAAAACAGACCATGGAAGACAGAATTTTGGATGCATTCACTGTAAGGAAATGTTAAATACATTAAAATTTTAAAAATATAAATATTTTACCCTGATTGTTTGGATATTACAAAATGTCTACATGTAATAAAACATTACAAAATACCCTATAAATATGCACAATTTTATATCTGTTAAAGTTTTTAAAATAAATTTTAAAACAAAAAAAGAGCACTCCTGGATGCTCTTTAACAAAGAAGAAAAATATCCTCTCCTCTTGAATTAAAATCTGAGACATGCAATTTAAATAGAATTATATAAAGTTATAACAAAGAATTAAAGTGCAAGCAGAAAGATTTTCAGAGATAATGGAAGGAAACCCAGATTTATCTTTTTTAATTTTTTAAATGTCATGATAATCATAAAATCCAAATTACTATTATCATTTTACTATTTGCAGTAGTTTTCAGCAGACTGTAAAGGGTTTCTGCTCCAGAATTTTCAACTCCCTGTATGGAAACCAGACATTAACTATTCCTATTTTAAAGCAAAACTGGTGGACACTCCAGTACCACTAAAAATAATCCTAGTTCTTTGTTGCAGAAATATCTCCACAACCTTGTGCAATGCTTAACACATAATTTTTGTTTAGATACTTTTTTAGACATTAAATAGAAGTACAAGTTTGATTTTTTTTAAAGAACTTTGTATAAAATGTTTCCATGAAAGTGAATTTTTACTGGTAGTCCTACCCTCGCTGGTGCACACTTCCTCTTTCACCACCACCTTTTAGCATAAACAAGTAAGTCAAACAACCATGCAACAGGTAATGTGTCTTGGTTAAATTTGCATTGACACACAGATACAAATCACTTAAAAATGAATTCTGATTACTTCAATTCTGATTTTCACTAATGTCTTAGGCAAAATTAAGCTCCTAAACCATTAGTCCTGTTTCTAGATGTGCTTAGACTTTTCTGGATGTTATTTATAACCACTGTCTGTTCTGCAAATCAAGTGAATTTTAACATACATATATCATGGAATCCAAACAAAAAATCTTGAGATTCCGTTTTTCTAATTTGTTAAGTGAGAGCAGTAATGTATCCATTTCTTTGATACTTTTATTATTAATTGACACATAATAGTTGTATATACTTGTGATGTTTTGAGACATGGGCATAATGTGTAATACTCAAATCATGGTAATTAATATATCCATCATCCCAGGCATTTAAAGCAGAAATTCATTGATGGTTTCAACAACAAAAGTAATAATAATACATTATTAAACAATTAGAAAGTCCAGAAGTGTGTGTAAAATGGACAATTATATCTAACTCACAATCTAAAAATATTTATATGTAATGTTTTATATTTTCTTATAGTGTGACTTATTTGGTTTTCAGTTGCAAGCAATAATATTAACAAGTCATATACTTGCTTAATTGTGTATTTGTTTTTATTTAGGCCATATATGCATTTAGTTTTAAAATCCAAATAGTACTAGGGACTCATGATAAAAATCAATGCTTCTCTGCTCTGCCTCATTTGAGTACTATTTCTTGAAACAATAATTTTTAACTTTCTGTGTTTTCTTTAATATATTTATAGTTTGATTTTCAAATGATATACTTTATCATTATTTGGTGTTTCCTTAAGTTTTGGGTATTATTTATTGACTTTGGACAATTGAAGAGGAAGATTCAGATTTCTTACTATCAAGTTATCTTCCCTGCCGGCGCCGTGGCTCGATAGGCTAATCCTCCGCCTGCGGTGCTGGCACACCGGGTTCTAGGCCAGTCAGGGCGCTGGATTCTGTCCTGTTTGCTCCTCTTCCAGTCTGGCTCTCTGCTGTGGCCTGGGAGTGCATGGAGGATGGCTCAAGTCCTTGGGCCCTGCACCTGCACGGGAGACCAGGAGAAGCACCTTGCTCCTGGCTTCGGATCAGCGCGGTGTGCCGGCCTCAGCGGCTATTGGGGGGTGAACCAACAGAAAAAAAAAAAAAAAAAAAAGGAAGAAAGGAAGACCTTTCTCTCTGTCTTTCTCTCTCTCTCTCACTGTCCACTCCACCTGTCAAAAAAAATTATCTTCCCTTGAATACATTTTCCTTCTGCCTAGTTTGACAAAAGGAATAACCCACATTAAAAATATTAATACAGGGTCAATATTTGGCACAGCAACTTAAATTATTGCTTTGGATGCCCTTATTCCATGTCAGAGTGCCTGGTCTGAGTACGGGCTATTCCACTCTGAAACAGCTTCCTGCTAGCATGCAATATGGGTGGCTGTAGATGAAGGCTCAGGTACTTCAGTTCCTTCACTCAGATGCTAAGTTCCATGCTCCTGGATTTGGCCTGGCTTAACCCTAAATGTGGTAGGCATTTGGGGAGTGAATCAGGGAATGGAAGATCTATCTCTGTCTCTGGAAATTCTTACTAGATTTGATGTTTGGGAATTAAATTATAAATATTTTAATACTTTGCATTGATGATTCAGAATTAAAATTGGCTTGTTTTTAGAGTTTCTTCATATGGTGGAGGGGGGCCCAAAGCACCAAAACATGGAACACGATACAGTTCAGGGCTTTGAGTGTGAAGGTGAATTCCAACAGTTGGATTCACGGAGGCTTCTGTCCCTAGAAAGAGAAAGATGGAGTATTGTTATTTTCCTAGTCAGCATAAAGCAGAAGTACATGACCCTCCTGATAAAATCTGACCTTTCCTAGATCACTGGAGAAACGTAAATTAACTGTACCTTTGAGAAAATATTTACAACCATGTTTCAGTCTGTAGTCACCATTTAGTCAATATAGGAAGAATATTTGTGTGAATCAGCTGATTATATCATCATTGACTAACTCATCAGGAAGCATTTACACTGTAGTAGCTGAAACTAAAGGATTACTGTAAACACCAGTGACATTTCAGCTAATGCTCCCATTATAGGTTGTACAAGTCCCACTAGATAGATTAAAATATCACTTTCTAAGCTTCATTATGTTGTATTTATGCTTGCAAGTGGCAACTACTGCAAATAATTACTCTAAACATTTCCTGGAGCAGGTGTGTGGGGGGGGGGATTTTGGCACTGAAGATTAAGTCATTGTTTAAGACACCCACACATCCCATATAGGCGTGCCTGTGTTTGAGTTCTGCTTCTGCTTCTGATTCAACCAGCCTGATGATACACTGGGAGGCAGCAGGTGAAGTCTCCAATGGTTGGGACCTACTACCTTCATAGGAGACCCAGATTGAGTTCCTGCTCCTGGCTTTGATTTGGTCCAGCTCTAGCTGTTGTAGGCATTTGAGAAATGAACCAGTGAATAGAACATTCTCTCTCCCCCACCCCTCTCTCTCTCTCTTTCTCTCTTCCCCTCCCTCTCCCCCTCCCTCTCCCTCTCTCTCTCTCTGTTTCAAATAAATAAAAATAAACATTATGATCATAAAATAAACTGAAAATATGTCATTGTAACAATTAAAAGAAAGAATAAGGAAGAAAGAGGGAGGGTGTGAGTGTAGGCAGGACAAATGGTAGGGTAGGAAGTATGACTATGCTCCTAAATCTGTACATATGAAATAATTGAAACTTGTTCATTTTATGTAAATAAAAATAAACAAAAACAAAAAAGTTAAGTACATAAAATTTTCCTTATAACAAATGAAGAAATATTAAGATAAATGCTAAAAGGTTTGAATTTAAAGTATAGGCACACAGCAAAGAGAAGTCTTTATCTTCCACACACTGGTCACCTTGATAGACCATGCACTGATTCCAAAAGCTCTTTGGAAAATCTTCTGCTACTGTTTCCTTAAAAGACCTCTTTTGAGTGATACAGGAAATCGATAGTCATATTTTATAGTCATTTCATGGTTTGCATGTGTGTTTTCATCTGCATTTTTACCTTTCTTTGAATGATTTTGATTCCCCTTCTCTAAACAATAGTAATACCCACATATTTACTATTAAAGAAAAAATAGGCTATTGAGCTAAATTTGTCTATTAAACAAATTTAATTGGAACGTAAGTATTCCCATTCATTTACAGATTGACTATAACTGCTCTTGCCTTCTAAACTCTCTAAAGGCAGAGGTGAGTGGTCCTCATAGAGACTGTATAGCTTGGAAAGCTAAAATAATTTCTATCTTGCCCTTCACAGGAGAAATTTACTGATCTTCCTTAAAGTCTGAAATTTGATATTGTCCTATTAGGAAGATTCCAAAGAATCTTCACTGTTTAAAATTCTTCACAGAACAATTACTAAAGAATTAAAAAATGGAATTATATATTTTTATAAGACATTAGCTGTCTCCGTGGAAATAATATGCAGATTGTTCAAAATGAATCCTTGGATTGGGTAATTTTAGTTCAAGACCACAGAGTTTCAAATGTTCGTATTTGTCTTACTTTTTGTTTCACTGTTTCTCAAAGTGACATATAATAACTCAAATATTTGTATAATATGCAAAGGGTATGACAAAGTTTATAGTATAAATCCACCTCTTGGTTCAGTACTTTTCTTAGGTAATCATTTATATAGTTGAATAATCTACTCCTACACTATTATATAATCTTTCTTTGCCTCAGCTTTTCCTTATCAATAAAAAGATAATGATAATATCTACCTATAAAAAAGTAAAGCTGAACAAATATAAGATGCTTAAAACAGGCTTGGCATACAGTAGATGCTTATTATTATTATTATTATTATCTTATACAGAGAACTATACTACACTAAGTAAGTGCATGTATTTTTTTTCTTATCTACATGATTTTAGTGGTTAAATAATAATTTAATCATTATCCTTATTGGTTCCAATAAATTATTAAATAAAATATGTGATCAAAACCTTTTTGTAAAAACACATATATTAATTTTTAGTTATTTATTTAAAAAATGAGGGAGAGATTTTCCATCCACTGGTTCATTTCCCAAATGTTTATAACAGCTAAGGCTGGGCCAGGTTGAAGAATTGATGTCTTCTAGGTGGATGTCAGGCCCCCAAGTGCTTGAGTTGCTCTTAGAGTGCACAGTAGAAAAAACTATCGGAAATGGAGCTGGGACTCAAATCCAGACACACTGACAGGGGATGTAGGCATCCCAAGCAATGACTTCATCATAGTGCCAAACTCCTGCTGCTTTTGCAGTTTAGACATATAAGCAGCTGTCCACTCATCTGTGGAAATGGAAGGCACTACTTCCTGTTCCTTTGTCTCTGGCCCTCCTTCTGGTACCCACTCAAAGCATTCACATTTAATCACTGCTGAAGACAAAATTTCTATTTTCTCTGAAATAAGAACAAGAGAAGATTATCTCCAAAACTGTAGAAGAGAGAGGGTCAGGGAGATTGGGTAGTGGAAGGACAGACTTATCAGGAAATCAGCCTTGGGAAGACGCTAATCCACTATAAGCATCCCCAGGAGTTCAGTTCTGCGAGCTCTCACCTTACTGTCTCATCATAACAGCCATAGGCCTTGACAAGGAGCCTCGTCAGGGCTGAGATAACCCAGCTCCAATCCACAGACCAATGTAATGATGGCAACAGGACACTGACATGGGTTTTATGTTCTTTATTATTTTTATTAAAATATGGACAAGCAAAGGTAGGGTCCTCTCATCTAAGCTTTTGAATTATCTTTTCTCTAATGAACAGTGGATCATTTTTCTATCTCAATCCATACTTGCTGTCTGACCTCCCAATCCCCAAACCTTTTTCCCTTCACTGCTGCTAAATGTCTACTCCCTCATTAATACGAGATTTTATTCAGCTTCACAACCTTATTTTCAATGAAACTTTATTTTTTCCTTATTCACAGTGAATTAAAATAACAAAAACTATTTTTCAAAAATTTAAAATTCCTGGCCAGCGCTGTGACTCACTTGGCTAATCCTCCACCTGCGGTGCCGGCACTCCGGGTTCTAGTCTCAGTTGGGGCACCCGGTACTAGTCCCGGTTGCTCCTTTTCCAGTCCAGCTCTCCGCTGTGGTCCGGGAGGGCAGCGGAGGATGTCCTGAGTACTTGGGTCCCTGCAGCCACATGGGAGACCGGGAGGAAGTACCCGGATCCTGGCTTCGGATCAGCGCAGCGCCAGCAGTGGCGGCCATTTGGGGAGTGAACCAATGGAAGGAAGACCTTTCTCTCTGTCTCTTTCTCACTGTCTATAACTCTCTCTCTGTCTCTCTCTCTCACTGTCTAACTCTGCCTGGTAAAAAAAAAAAAAAATTAAAATTCCTTTGATATTATTTTCTTTTTAAAAAAAGCAACTTAAATCTTTCTTTTATCTTTAAAATTATGTCTAATTTTTATAATTTTTCTAGATCCTCAGTTTTATAAAGTAGAGTGTAATGATCAAAAACCATGGAGATTTTGGGTGCAGATTATTATGTGATAATATCAAGAATTATGAAAAACTTGCATAAATTCCTTTAAAAATCACTTTCTGTAATGAGTGTATTCTTACTCTCCGCTTCCACTACTGCAGAGGAAAAAAAGTAATTACAGTTCTGTGTTTTCTGTTGAATTATAATGTAGGAGGGCTTAGACTGGCATTATTAAAATGCATAAGGGAGGGGGCATTTAGTCTAGGAGTTAAGATGCCCACATCCCACACTAGAATACCTGGACTGGATTCTTGGCTACTGACTTCAGCCTCCTGCTAATGCAGACCCTGGAAGGTAACAGTGAAGGCACAGTAATTTGGTTCCTGCCTTGTACTGAAAGACCTGGATTGAGTGCTCAGTTCCTAGTTTTAGCCCTGGCCTTTATGTGCTTTGGAGCAGTGAAACAATGGATAGGAGTTCTTTCTATGTGTCTGTTTCTCTTTCCGTCTGCTATCCTCCTTCCCTCCTTCCTTCCTTCCTTCCTTCCTTCCTTCCTTCCTTCCTTCCTTCCTTCCTTCTTCTCTCTCTCTGCCTCACAAATGCATTTTTCTTAAAAAAATTTTACAACGTAATTTGTATGCCACATTGGGTTAAGTTACCACTTGCAGATTCAATTGCAGATTGGAGTGCCAGTTGCTCAGCTTCTCATCCAATTCCTTACTAAAGCACCTCTAGGAAAGCAAGGAAGATGGCCAAAGTATTTGTGCCCCTAGCATCCATGTAAGAGACTAGAATGGAATTTGGACTTTTGATTTTGGTCTGGTCCAGAGCTGGCCATTGGGGCTATTTGGAGATTGAATCAGTACATGGAAGACATCTCTCTCTCTCCTCACCCCCCACCACCATGTGTTTGTATGTATGTGTGTATATATATCTATTTGTCTCTCTCTCTCTCATTTTGTCACTGTGCTTTTCAAATAAATAAATATGAAAAAATTAGAACACAGACAAGATACTGAGATAAAAAAGTGAATGAAAAAATCATTTATCCTGTAACATGGATGCTGAAAAAAAAAAAAAAAACCTCCAAATAATGCTAGAATTGTTGATGTCCATTGATTTAAAGAGAACTAGAAGGTGTCAGAAACTACTTCATGGATGACCCCATCTAAGAAGACATCAGGGTACTAAATGGATACTTTTGAGGTTGCTGCAGAGATAGTAAGAGAGAACTGGATCAGGTAGAAAAGTGTGTTTGGGGTGTGGAGTTGGATGCGTAACAGAAGAAAGGGCGATCTAGGAGATGCTAGAATTGCATTCTGGAAGAGGAGGGGTCCTTAAGCAGAAATAATTTGATGATTTTAGAGCTTGTACAAAACAAATAGATCTCAATTTTTGACCTTCAAATATATCCACCTTCAAACTGCAAGTTTCTTCTTTCATCTTGTTCCTTGTCTATATTCTTGACTTTCTTCTTCTCTTCTTCTTCCTGCTTACTCTGATTGCACCTCTTTCTCATCTGTAGCTCCCAAAAGGATGCATTAGGTTTCTATGGCTACTACAACAAAGCACCACACACTGTGTGACTTAAGCAACAGAAATTGACTTTCTCACAATTTTGGAGACTGGGCATTTCCAATATCAAGTATCAGCAGGGTTAGTTTCTTCTGTGACCTCTCTCCTTGGCTTATAAATTGGCATCTTCTTCCTGTGTCTTTACGTGGTCTTCCTTATGTGCCTGTTCATGTGCTAAATCTCCTGTACAAGGATGTTGGTCGTCTCAAACTATGATTCACTTCCATTACCTCATTTTAATTTAATTAATTTTATTAAGAACACTTCAAATTTTGTTATATTCTGAAGTACCAGGGGTTAGGTATTCAAACACGTGAATTTAGAGAGAAGACAATTCAGCCTGTAACAGAGGTAGCAAATGGATTACTTTTCCATTTCCAGAGAGTAAAGACTTTTGTCATAATGTTCTCTAGACAAAGGAAGTGCTCACTGAGCTCAGTAGTGCTAGAGTCTCTTCTACTAAACCCATTGACTATTTAGAGAAACTCTTGACTATGATGGGCCATTTGGTACATAGATCCCATGAAGAAGAGAGATTCTGCTCTTAAGGCAGAAACTCAGCAGAGTACTGTGAAACAGCATGGTCATTGATAACAACAGTTGCTAATAGGATTTGGGCTATTTGGCTGAGTTCCCAAAGGCCTTTTTGAGACAGGAAATTTCATCAGCCATTAGGATGGGATGTCTTAGCAACACTTTTCTTATGTATTTTTAAGGATATCAGGCTGTTTTCTCTTTTTAGTATTTCTAATCAAGATAATTGGAAACCTGAGCCATGAAATACTGTCAAGAATTGCTACTGAGAAAATTCATATTTTATGTATTTTAACATTAGTGAAGCTCAATCAACTGTAGCCTTTGATATTAAGCCAAATTCTTCTCCTTTCTTCTACTCAGTTAAGGTCCTCTTCTAGGAGATCATGAGAATCAGACCCCTGACCCATAGGCCAAAGGAGCAGAATTATTTCAACTAATATATTCAACAAATATTGTAATAATGTGAAATAAGTTCTGAAGAAAAAAAATAAAGCCCTGAATGGAACTCAAAATTAATATATCAAATCTAGTGTCTTTTTATAGTGTTTTAAATGGCCCATTTCACACATCCTGTGTTCAGGGTGAACATACTGTCTTTCTGTTTTACTTGAGGGATATCAGGAAGTCCATACACTCTATTTTCTACCCTTCTATGTCACCATTGTCATTCAAGTGATTTCTGATGGCTCTTTCCCCTTTCTGACCAGTGGTTGTAAGGCAAACTCAGAAGTACAATCCCATAACTTTGGATGGGACTCACTCACAATTGTGAACATACACATTGTGGGAGCTGTGGAGGTACATCATGTGCCTTTCACTCTCACCTCCCTTACTGATACATACTGAGGTGGTTTCCTAGCTTTCTTTTGGAGAGCAGCTCCTTCTTCCAGAAATATTAGATAGGAAGAAACATTTATCTGGAGAATTGAAAATATAAAGAGGATCCAGTGGAGAAAGTAGAACCAGGGGGGAAATAATCCAGTAAGAGTTAGGTTTCACACTGCATTAAAATACTGGTTCTCTAGAATTTACAGCCAGAAATTACTGGTAAATAATTCATTGGGATCACAGAGAATGACACTTCCTAAATTACTTTTTGTGGTTTGTTTTGGAGGAGATAAATAAGAATTCCTAAAACCACAACTCTGGAGTTTACATCAAAATCAAACACTACAAATGGCTGTTAAATATCTGTACCAGGGTCCTGAGAATTCTGGACAAGACGGGAGATGGGCGATGGATAGGGTGACTTAGTATTCAACCTAGTATTGATAAGAGGAAAGATAAGTGGGAAGGGACAACTGAAATTGTAGCTTCCATAATGGAAATCAGTGGATGAGATCTTTGTAGTGCTTCTCAAGCTGGAACACAGTTTAAGTGTTTCTTGAGCAAAAATAAGATCTAGAATCAATACCAGTGGAGTTAAAAGGAAAGAATAGCATGAGGATGGGAATGAAGATTCTAAAACACAATCTCTACCACAGACTATGTCATTGTGCCCAGTGCATATTTTTTGAATTCCTTCCCACATTTCTGTACAATTGATTTCTATTAGTTGACTGGCAGCAAAGATCTATTTATGTGTATTTACCATGAAGAATGAGAGGAATAGATAACATGCTATTAAGAGATAGAACTACCAATCTTCAAAGTGACATTTAAAAATTAGAGACTACCTGGAGTTAAAAGCAGAACCAGGATGCAAATTCAGGCATTCTGATGTGAACATTGGAGTCCTAAGTAGAATGTTACCCACTACACAAAATGTTTATGCCAATTTCAGTTTATTTTTATTCTTTTTATTTTTTATTTATCTAGGGCATACCCTGTTCCAACTATTGAAAAATCTCATGCTGGTGCACAACTCTGAAAAACCGCTATTAATTTTTAGCAAACAACAGTGGGGTTTAATCCAGTACCTGAGAGGGAATATTCACAACAGCCTATGTGTAAGGACAATGTTTAATATAAAGAAACAAATTATTGGGGACCAGCATTGCAGCATACCAGGTGTACCGGGTAAAGCTGCTGCCCATTAAGCTGGCATCCTATAAGGGGTAAGTTCATGTGCCAGCTGCTCCACTTCCAGTCAAACTTCCTGATAATGGCCTGGGAAAAGCAGCAAATGATGATTCAAGTGCTTGGACCCCCACTAGCCATGTGGGGGACCTGACTGAAGCTCCTGGCTCCTGACTTCAGTCTGGCCCAGCCCTGGCCATTGAGGTCATCTGGGGGAGTTAACCAGCATATGGAGGATCTCTCTCTTCTTCTGTCTCCTCTCCTCTCTGTAACTCTTTCTAATAATAAATAAGTAAATAAATAAATCTTCAAAAATAAACCATCAATTGTGACCTCCTAGAAATCAGTAAGTAGCTTTTTATTTTCTACCTATAATTAAGGCTAGAAGTTACAAATAACCATAAAACATCAATTTCTGCTAGTTCTTACCTCATTATACAAATTGGAATATGATGTAAGGAGCCGGTTTTGGGGATGGAGATGGGAGTAGCTAGGATCAGAATGCTGCCACTATGTGGGGTCAGAGAGAGATAGAGAGGGAGAGGGAGAGGGAGAGGGAGGGGGAGGGGGAGGGGAGAGGGAGGGGGAGGGGGAGGGGGAGAGGGAGAGGGAGAGGGAGGGGGAGAGGGAGAGGGAGAGAGAAAGTATAAGGACTCACACTTGCCTGTGTGAGTGATTTCAGATTTTACAGGGGTAACAATCTTGGAAGTGTGCTTAAGTGTCAATTTTAAGCACTTCTGATGAATTAAATGCAACCCAGAGAGCTATTAAATACTATCATGAATACAGGGTAGGAAAAATTGAGAGTAAAAGCTTAGAGATATTCTTCACTTAAACTCTACTTGCCATTTGGAGTGTCCAGACCAGCATATCTCTTCTCTTCTGCTTGTGGAATAAGTAAAACGTTCAGATTCTGTTCCTACACTCAACTCTAAGTTGGTTCCCTAGGACAAATTTTTTTTTCTTCTGGTGTTTCCTTTCTTCTGGGGTTTTATCAGTTAATCTCCGTCATCAATGTGTGCCTTAGAGCCTCCAGTATGTCATGTCTTAGTCTATGTCCACAAACCTGCTTTGTAGATGACAGCTTTTCAATTCACCACAAAATACTAGCTTTTAAAAAGAAGTTCAGGAGCCAGCACTGTGACATAGTGGATAAAGATGCCACCTGGAGTGCCAGCATCCCATATGGGTGCCAGTTCTAGTTCCTGCTGTTCTACTTCTGATCCTACTCTCTGTTATGGTCTGGGAAAGCAGTAGAAGATGGTTCAAGTGCTTGGGCCCCTGCACATGTGTGGGAGACTCAGAAGAAGCTCCTGGCTCCTGGCTTCAGAGGACTCAGCTCTGGCTGTTGCAATCATTTGGGGAGTGTGGGGAGTGAACCAGGGGACACAAGACATTCTCTCTCTCTCTCTCTCTCTCTCTCTTTCTCTCTCTCTCTCTCTGTATCCCTCTCTGTAACTCTTTCAATTAAATAAATAAATCTTCAAAAAGGAGTCCAGAAGTGTGTAGAAGTCTGCCGCTCACCATAAGTGGGGTCCAAGTCTCCAACAGCAAACACGGCCATAGTGCGTCTTGAGGAATCAATCCGGAGTCTCTTCAGCCAGCACTGGAAGCAGTAGAGCACCACTCCACAGAGAAGAGCCACCAAGAAAATCAGAAGCAGAAACCTGACACGAAAAATAGCAGGCAAGGAGTGAGGTAGAGCATGAGACATAGAGGCAAGGGGAGGTAAGAGCTTCTGTTATGACATTAAATTGTACAGAGACCCAGCTGGACTGGCTGCAAGCAATCCGAGATGCTTAAATCCTCAGCAATCAACCACCACCTCTCATCCTCTCATACATCTCTGCTGAAGCTGGAGTATACTCTGCCAGTAGAGACGGTCCATCTTGTCAGGTGATAACAATCATTTCTTTGTGGAAATTGGAGAGTTATTCCAAAAAAGCAACGCTTTATTTCTTTAGCTCATTCATTCACTTCTCCTTTAATTCATCCATAGCTTCATTTCCTTTTATTTATTTATTTATTTATTTATTTATTTATTTATTTATTTTTTGGACAGGCAGAGTTAGACAGTGAGAGAGAGAGAGAGAGAGAGACAGAGAGAAAGGTCTTCCATTTTCTGTTGGTTCACCCCCCAAGTGGCCGCCATGGCCGGCGCGTTGTGACTGGTGCTGCGCCAATCCGAAGCCAGGAGCCAGGTGCTTCCTCCTGGTCTCCCATGCGGGTGCAGGGCCCAAGGACTTGGGCCATCCTCCACTGCCCTCCCGGGCCACAGCAGAGAGCTGGACTGAAAGAGGAGCAACCGGAAGAGAATCCGGTGCCCTAACTGGGACTAGAACCCGGGGTGCTGGCACCGCAGGTAGAGGATTAGCCTAGTGAGCTGCGGCGCCAGCCCATACATAGCTTCTTAAATACCTGTTAACTAGTATTTAAGAAGTTAAACATATTTTACATGTTGAAGTTAGAGATCCAAATGTGCACAAAATAGAATCTCTGCCTTTGAGGAGCTAACAATCTAAGAGAACTAATATGTTAAGTTTGGAAAATAAAAAAGTCAAGATTTAGAATGACATAGTAACTGTATAAGGATTTCAAAAAAGTAACAGTAATATTTTGAATGGCTTTTGAAGCTGGAATAAAAATCAGTTGAGGGCCAGCACCGTGGCTCACTAGGCTAAGCCTCCGCCTGCGGCGCTGGCATCCGGGTTCTAGTCCCGGTTGGGCTGCTGGTTCTGTCCCGGTTGCTCCTCTTCCAGTCCAGCTCTCTGCTATGGCCTGGGAAGGCAGTGGAGGATGGCCCAGGTGCTTGGACCCTGCACCCCATGGGAGACCAGGAGGAAGCCCCTGGCTCTTGGCTTAGGATTGGCTCAGTGCACTGGCCGTAGCAGCCATTTGGGGGGTGAACCAACGGAAGGAAGACCTATCTCTCTGTCTCTCTCTCTCTCTCACTGTCTAACTCTGCCTGTCCAAAAAAAAAAAAAAAATCAGTTGAGGAATGATGATTCCTAAAATTTCCTTAAGCTATTGAGTTCATGTGACATATAAAATTAATTAGGGAAAAGACTGTGTATATATATCACCAAATATTTTATTTTTGAAAAATGAGATTATTCTTACCAGACATACCAGCTGTTGGGTTGTTGTTCATTATAATTTACACATCTGTTGATAAAGGAAGAGCAGTTAATGCTACACCTCTAGATGGTTAATACCTATTTTATTTGAACCTCCAAATGATACAGACCCTAGAACAGTCACCTAATTATATCCACATCCATCTCTACCCTCAGCATGATAAACAAATGTCTGCCTTTCATTTAGTCCATTCAAGGCACTGGAACAAAGATAAATTTGAGATTATCAGTCATGTAAACAAATAAAAATCCTGTTTAAAGTTTGATTCTAGTGTTACAAATACTGTTATGCTCTGAGAAGCTAGTGACTAACTTCAGGGACAATAAGTCATAGGTATTAGACAGATATTCATTTCACCTTTCTGTTTATCCAGAGACCTAGAATCCTTCATGAACCAAATTATCCATGGAAATGTTACTGATCTGTGCTTTTTTTCTTTTTTTTTTTTTTTTTTTTTTTTTTTTTTGACAAGCAGAGTGGACAGTGAGAGAGAGAGACAGAGAGAAAGGTCTTTCTTTTCCATTGGTTCACCCCCCAATGGCTGCTGCGGCTGGCGCACCATGCTGATCCAAAGCCAGGAGCCAGGTGCCTCCCCTGATCTCCCATGTGGCTGCAGGGCACAAGGACCTGGGCCATCCTCCACTGCACTCCTGGGCCACTTGGTAGGGAATAGCAGGCTAACTATTAAATATTAAGTACTCCAATTGATTTCACTTTACTTGGGCAACTCATGAGGAAAGAAATTAGGCTAGGAGGAAATTGAATGGGTGTGACTAAATACGTCATTTACCAGAAAGTTAGTTGACCTCTTAGCCTATCATTGTAAAATCTGTGTGTGTAGGCACTAAGATAGGTTGAAAGCTATCATACAAAAGTAAAGTTCACAGTTAGATTTTCAGGAGGCGTAATTCCCCATGTCCAAAGATGTATCAATTATTTATACTGGAGTCCCTCACTATGCCCGAGATGTTGCACTGGACATATGTTGCTGATGGACTGTTTTCATATCAGAATATCTGGGCCACTAATATGCTTTCCTGGGCATTCCTAATGTCAATTAATTTATTGCTTCTAGCATCCCTCAGGAGTCAGCCATGTTTATCATCTTATAGGAGAGAAAAGACTTTTTAACATATGCAAAGTGTAAACTTCAAATTTTTTGAAAGATGTATTTATTTATTTGAAGGTGGAGTGACAGAGAGAGGGAGAGTCAGGGGATAGCTCGATACAGAGGTAGACATAGGGATAGAGATCTTCCACCCCTGATTCATTCCCTAAGTGCCTACAATAGCTGAGCATCGGCAAGACTGAAGTCAGGAGCTGGGAAATTCATCAGACTCACATGTGGGTGGCAGGGAGCCAAGAGTTTGGGTCATCATCTGCTACTTTCCTGGATGCATTAGCAGGAAGACGGATCAGACACAGAGCAAACAGGACTTGAAGTGGCATTCTGATACGAGCAGCGACTTAATCCTCTGCACCACAATGCCTGACCCATTGAATTAAAAATTTTACACAAAACATTTAAGACAGAAGTAAATGACTAATTGAAAATTTTTTGATTGTTCTTATATCTTTGTTTTTCTGAGTGGCTGTAGAATTCTGCAAAGTTCACAGGTACAAATGGCTAAGAAAAAATGACAACTGACAACTTTAGAAAGTGAGCATAGCCAGAGTTGTGGTAAAGCTGGTAAAACCTAAGCCTGCAACACCAGAATTCTGTAGGGGTACCGGTTAGTGTCCTAGTTGTTCCACTTCTAGCTCCCTACTAATGGCCTGGGAAAAGCAACAGAAGATAGCCTCTGCCGCCCAGATGGGAGACCCAGAAGAAACTCCTGGCTCCTGGCTCCTGGCTCCTGGCTCCTGGCTCCTGGCTCCTGGCTTTGGCCTGGCCCAGCTCTGACCGTTACTGCCATCTGGGGAATGAGCTAGCAAATGGAGAAGAGCTCTCTGTCTCTCTCTCTCTCTCTTTCTGTAACTCTGACTTTTAAATAAATAAATAAATCTTTTTTTAAGTGACCATCAGTAAAAGACTTTTGAAAATAATTCATGGAATATCCTTGTAGAGTGTTGCTATGCAATCATCAAAAAGAATGGGGGCAGGCCTGCTGGCTACCATGTTGCTGTTACATCTGCACCCACAATGGAATATCTGTATTGGATTCCCAGCTCTGAATCTTGACTCCGACTTCTTACTAATGCTAGACCCTGGGAGGCAGCAGTCATTGCTCATGTGATTGGGTTCCTACATTCCAAATGGGAGACCTCAGTTGATATCCAACCTCCTGGCTTTGGCCTGGCCCAGCTCAGTTCATTATAATCTGAGGAGTGGACCTGAAGATGGGAGCTTTCCCTTTATCTGTATGTGTCTCTTTCTCTCTGCTTCTCAAAATTTATTTTTTTTAATTTGACAGGTTGAGTTATACACAGTGAGAAAGAGAGAGAAAGAGAGAGAGAGACAGAGAGAAAGGTCTTCCTTCCGTTGGTTCACTCCCCAAATGGCCACCATGGCCAGAGCTGCACCGATCCAAAGCCAGGAGCCAGGAGCTTCTTCCTGGTCTCCCATACGGGCACAAGGTCCCAAGCATTTGAGCCATCCTCCAGTGCCTTCCCGGGCCACAGCAGAGAGCTGGACTGGAAGAAGAGCAACCAGGACTAGAACCCTGTGCCCATATGGGATACTGGCACTACAGGCAGAAGATTAACCAAGTGAGCCATGACGCCGGCCCTCAAAATTTAATTTTTTAGGGAACATAGATTTAGGTTTGAAATTGAATTCTTGTTAAGTAAAATAATACAGAGAATTGAATCTTTTTTTGCACCAATACAATAATTTCACTTAAATAGTTACTAGTTAAACATATATGTACACCAAACCACTAACAGTGCTTACTTCTCTTAAAGATGGTATTATGAGGAAGTTTCTGTTTTGAATTTTTCAAACTTTTGTAGTCAGATAGCACTAACATGCCACATTAAAAATATAAAAATCTTTAAAGTGTAGTCTTTTTTTTTTAACTTTTATTTAATGCATATAATTTTCCAAAGTACGACTTATGGATTACAATGGCTTCCCCCCCATACCGTCCCTCCCACCCACAACCCTCCCCTTTCCCACTCCCTCTCCCCTTCCATTCACATCATGATTCATTTTCGATTATCTTAATATACAGAAGATCAGCTTAGTACACATTAAGTATGGATTTCAACAGTTTGCTCCCACACAGAAACATAAAGTGAAAAATAATAGATGATTTTTTTAAATGATGATGAAATCAGAGCAGACCTATTGTCATGTTTAATCCCAGTGAGAGTCAAGTTGGGAATTGATAATTTCTTTTTTTTTTTCTTTTTCTTTTTTTTTTTTTTACAGAGGATCAGTTTAGTATGCATTAAGTAAGGATTTCAACAGTTTGCACCCCCATAGAAACACAAAGTGAAATATATTGTTTGAGTACTCGTTATAGCATTAAATCTCAATGTACAGCACATTAAGGATAGAGATCCTACATGAGGAGTAAGTGCACAGTGACTCCTGTTGTTGACTTTACCAATTGACACTCCTGTCTATGGCATCAGTAATCTCCCTATGCTCCAGTCATGAGTTTCCAAGGCTATGGAAGCCCTCTGAGTTCTCCGACTCTTATCTTGTTTAGACAAGGTCATAGTCAAAGTGGAGGTTCTCTCCTCCCTTCAGAGAAAGGTACCTCCTTCTTTGATGACCTGTTCTTTCCACTGGGATCTCACTCGCAGAGATCTTTTGCCAGAGTGTCTTGGCTTTCCATGCCTGAAATACTCTCATGAGCTTCTCAGCCAGCTCCGAATGCCTTTAGGGCTGATTCTGAGGCCAGAGTGCTATTTAGGACATCTGCCATTCTATGAGTCTGCTGAGTATCTCACTTCCCATGTTGGATCACTCTCCCCTTTATTTACTCCATCAGAGGGAAGAGATGTATAATTTGGGACATGCTCAGGCTGACTTGCCCCAAGTGGTGGAGTTGGAAGCATACCAGGGGATTCCAATTCAATCCCATCGAGGTGGCATGTACCAATGCCATCTCACTGTTCCAGGTGATCAGTTTCAGTTCACAGTTGGTCATGGTGAAGGGACTGGGAGTCAAAGGGAACACATAGACAAGTCTAGTACCTGCTAACGCTAACCGATGGAGTAAATAAAGTGTAGTCTTTACGTTAGGATGTATGGAAGGAAAGTTTCTGGGTGTCCTGGCCAAGTAAAAGAACAGAAGTTCTTGTTTTTGGAATATTGACATAGAAACTCTTGACTCAAAGTGCGGATTATTTCAGGTTCCTGTAATATCCATTTCTGCTTCTATTTTTTTTTCATTTTAATATAATTCACATGTAAGTATTTATCATTGATATGGATTTTAAATATTAAGTACTTCATTTTATTTCTTCATTCTATTTTTAAATCACTCATTTGCCTACCCTCCACCCAGGACTAAACAAATACCCAAACTGATTTATTGCACTTTCTAAGCCCTGTGCACCTTTGGTGGAGGTTCTGATATGCAAAAAGATGACCAGGCAATAGCTGGAGAAATGCAATGGTGTCATGAATTTGAGTTGCAGGCACCTATGGGATCATTTATTTCATCCTTTGGATTGTATATGCTGTATAGCTGAGAGAAAATGTATTTCTCTCAGATTTTTCACCAGCTATATAATAAGGTAAATGTTGGATATACAATATAGCTTTGTGATTAATATTCTGGGCTCAGAAATTAGTCCTGGGTCCAAGTAAAAGATCTGCCGTGTATTTGTTTGCCTTCTTGAACAAAATACTTAACTGTACTCAGATAGATGATGGAATATCACTAGTGACAGAGGAAGCATTTAAATACATGTGGCCTGGCTAGTCCCTGTCTCTTACCACTGTGCGATAATATGACTGGAAAGAGTAGAAGCTAGGTTATAGGACTGTCTGTATACTTGCAATATACTGAGTTTTAAAATGTCTTAAGAAAAGATTGAAAATGCACACAAGAAATAGAAATTGAAGCATG